CAAGAGTTGAGCATAATGCTGTAAAATGGAGTAGCACTAAACTCTTGATTTATATTTGTTGGCACGCCCAGTTTGTACAATCTGGTGGAAACAAGGATTGGAAAGATCTGGAACTGCTTCCTCTTTTCATTTGGCAAAACACACTGAACAGTAATGGCTAATAAATATGCTGTGTATAAGTGCAATGATAGAGCGAGCCTAAGAGGGGATCTCAATTAGCGCTGAATGTCACTGATGCTCTCACACTCTTCTGTCGTGAATCAGTACCGACACTTGGAATCAATGAATAGCCATGACTGACAATGCATTTTTTGAGATCCGTCAAACAAGGAGCAAGGACACTTAGAAACAGACATGAAGAGATATAGGTGGTGTTGTGTCTCAACACCACCTATATCTCTTGACTGGCCATTATTCAAGATGGCCACTCAAAGTCAATTACTGCAACTTTTAGCGACCAAATTATAAAAAGTGGGTCCATTTCATAGCAACATAAGAAGAATAACTCTTTATTTCACAAAATGCAACCTCAAACTTAAAACATTTCCAAATTACATAAGGCCCTCTCATAAAAAAAAAAACACAGCCACGGTGCATATGAATTGAATTAGTGCTGGCAACATCTCCACAACACCACAGAGAAGGTAAACACTTACAGGCCAAATGTTTTTCTCTCCCTCTCTCTTTTACTATAAGATGGAGGATGTCTTATATAATGTACGTGTTGCTTATGAAGCCGAGGGCAATGGAAAGTGGGGGACAAAAATGCGAGGGACGAAGGGAAAGAAGGAACAGAAGCGGATTTAAAAGCAAAGAAGAGATGGAGTCTCAGGGAGTTGGGGTGGAGGAAGGGGGGGTGAAGGGGGCAAAGTCTGGAAGCAAGCTGACAGGACTGGATATGCCCAGACAGGGAGCCAGGCCCAGGCTTGAGAGTCTTATTTGAATCTCCGAAATGCCTCACCCGTCTCTCCCTCATCTCCTTCTCTAAAAAAGCAATCTCTCCCTTCCCAGCACGTTATTCCTCACCCCTACTTACAGGCAGAGCCCCTCATAACTGACTCCTCCCTTTCTTTTCTCTTCAAACAAGCAAACACACATACATACCTACCTCAGTCACACTGAACTGCTGTGGAGCTAGTCAGGGTATATCAGAGAACACAGGGTGTTGGCCAAGCAAGTAAATAATAACATAAACTAGCTGTGTCGCCTGTTAAACTGCATTGTTGTGAGCATGTTACCACTCACTCGCAGCTCCCTGAACTGAGCTCCCAGACATGTAAAAGGTTTCGGCTTGATCCACCTATAAGTTAAATATGAAGTACGTTGGTGGAAACTAACCCAAAATGGACTGAAAAACAGGCTCTCCACTGTTCCGTCCATGCTGCCAGCTCCTTTACATTGCTATTATTTTTTTTCCACATCTTGGCTTTACTCATGTATTCTTTCTTCATCAAATGCGCCCTGCCCCAGACACAGTCTGCGTATTGTCTGAAGGATTCTGCAAAGTGAAATTCTCTCACGATAGAAATACTGAGCAGGGAGCGCAGAAGGAGCATTGAAGAGAATGAGAAGCGGTAGGGTGGGGTAGCTGGAGTGAGGCACTGAGTTGTCTGTGTTTATTTTGGAAATGCAGGCATGCAGTCTTGCAGCAGAGGAACTGACCCCTAAAACTTCACCACGTCAGAGCCTCACAGAAAAGTGTGAGAGTCCTGCGCTCATTTAGGATGTCCCACACAGGTGATTTTTAAAAAAGAGTAGACCATAGACCCCATGACGGGCAATTGTAATGCACCCCAGGGACCCAGGAATGGTGTACTCCAGGAGGAAACAGTGAGGCCATGAGGTGATTAGTGGTTACTGTTTAACTGGGGAAAAATGCACGGTCCGTGAGCCCAGCCAGCAAAGCGGTATGCACTAGTCTCTTTCAGCTTGCAAGTTAGTAACATTTGTGCAGTGTATCCTCTTTATCTGTTTTTAAGGTATGAGTGTCAGGAGTCTGGCCATCACCCCAATCAGACACATTACTCTGCAGTACTCCAGAGCAGGACTGTGTCACCTCCACTCATGCACACATGGCAATGATTATTGATAAGAAATGTTGAGGAGAAAATGTATGGCGCTGGACTGTAATGACACAAGAGAGGAAAAACTCCTTCAGTGTCAGGTTTAACTTAGGTTCAGCTGTTGTGTCAAGTTCATTTCTACTGAGATTTTTTAATGAGTCACACTCATGTGTTCAGCCTTGTGGCTCTACTCATATAGCACTCTGTATATATATCAGCTGCAAACTAACCAGAGGTTTGCCTATAAATCAAATGAATTACAATGGAGATGAAGTTAGCAATAACTGAATGACAGCAATTTTGTGGCACAATAATAGATGATAAAAGGCAAATCATTCATAATAACCTTAACATCTTAACTCTTTTAAGAAATTAAAAAAAAACTCTATGTAAATCTGACCATGGACACTGTAATAGACTACATCCTTTCTCCAGCTCACTTCACTGAAGGGTCACAGTACTACATCTTAGTACTTGGTGCATCTCTATCACATTATCAGTCTAACCAAAGTTCTAGAGATGGGATGTGCATTAATTATCTATAAGTGTAATCACAGAAAGGACATCTTATCGTGCCTCTTATCGCCCTGAAGATAAATGCAGGCATGTAGCAGGTGCCTTGTTTTCACTGCAGGCTGCCTAATTCACCGACCACTGTAATCCTCCCTCCCATGCTGCTGTGTTGCCTTTCAGCTTGACCATAATCCCCAGCAGCTATGGAACCCCACTGTGATATCAATTCAAACTCTCACACCGGCTCTCCCAGTGTAGTTTGTGCCACTTACATCCCACACACTTAACCGGTAGCAGCCCTTTCTTCCGACAGCATTCTGCACAATGTAAGAATCAACTAACCAGCATCTCTTTATATCAGATGCGGTACACTTTTATAAGTCTGGTTTAAGGCATTAAGTATAAGTACGGTGTGGGTTCTCACTATGCCTCCATCACATGCCTTGCGGTTGCTCTCTGACACAGGAACATGTCTTTAGGGTCCACCTTCTCCACCATAGAGCAGCGGCCTTTCCCTCACAGTTTAGGATCTCTGGGGTATGATGTCACACAGTTGTGGCACGGGGCAAAATCTCAAGACGGGAAAATTGGGGAAGGGGTGACATCGACACCTGCTTTTCACTTCAGAGAATGATATGGTGGAAAGCATGTATGATACATCCTCTGTGCACTTATACAGTAGATGAAGTCAGTTGGTGTGAAACCTGCGACTCTGACCAAAAGCTGTTGCTCCCGGCAGCTGCCCAAGTATTTACATCTGGCCAAGTATGCAGTCAGGACCAGAAAATGTACAGCAAGAAAGGCTCCCTACACACACACACATCCTGTGAGTGTGGAATGCCACCACAGGGATACACAGCTGGATCCCAGTGGACATCTGGCTTGATGGTGGAGTTGCGAGCCTTTCCTCTGCAGTAACTAAGTGCTGTGTGAGAAAGGCATCGCCTGAATAATCATTGTGTGCCAGTGGTGATAGATGCCTCTTTGTCTGGCCCCAGTCAGAAGCATGTTATGGTTGACCAGCGTCTGAACTGATCATCAGCTGATTGGATAAACAATGTGGTGAGCGGGCCGTGGATGTGAGGAGCACCTGTGCTCACAGTTCAGAGAGGGGTTATGGTTTAAATAGCAAAGGGCTGGAACAGGGAGGGAGAAGAGGGATATAAAGTCTTCACTTTGCAGGAAGCCTGTGCAGCATCTTCCCCACAGACTTTGAGAGAAGTCCAGCAGGTCAATGTACACATAACCTCCAGTCTCACATGCTATCTGTGTGACAGTTTCTCTCTTGCATTCCCCGCAATCATCTCAGAAACATACAGCCAACCTACTTTTGTCCAAAATGCAACTGCAACCTCCTCAGTGTGCCTCGATCTGCACTGTGGCCTGATGCTTTTTAATGATCAGGCCTTATTCCGCTCCAGCACAGGGCTTATTAGGTCTGCCGGGCTTGGCTCTTCCCCCTGGCATCTTCTAGAACAATGCACCAATGGGAGGCAGCCAATGAGAGAAGGTCCACCACAAACCCAGTCCCAGTGTGCACACAGTTAGGCTTAGGGACAGTGGAATTGCTTAATTGGAGGAAAATCTGCCTGTATCTAGGCTTCTGCTTGTGCTCATTCTTGACCCCTGCACTACATGCATTGCCCTCAACTAAGTTAGAACTGGTCTAAACAGATATGATAAAAGACGAGACAAAAATATCAACAGCTCCAGCCAACACTTAGTATGCACAGTAAAACAAAGTGAAAGAGGTTATTATGCATAAATAAATCACACGGACATGTGGGCATGTAAATATATATCTGCTGTGATTGGAACACACAGTAGTAAAGTTCTAACCTTTCGTGTGGAAATGATATAAACCTGAGAATTAGCATGATTTTAGTGGATGTTTCTTGTGAAAGTCAGAGTTTAGTCCCTTATTTATTTACCAAGGAGTGTGGTTTAAGTGATTGTCAGCAGTCTGCAGACGTTGAACTCTTTATCAGATGTTGTGACAGAACCTCAGAGTGCAGCAGGCCTGCATCTTGCACAACAGCTGTTCTCCCCTATATAGGGCAGGATTTGTGATACTGCTCTAAAAATGTTAATGGGTTGACAGAGGGGGGTGCTAGTTATAGCGGGTGTAGAAAAGGACGCTCCCATGTTGAAATAGGTACTGACACGGTGTCTGCGTAATGGCACAAACGCCGTTCAAGACACGTCCGCCACAATCGGCCTCGAATGTTACAGTGTATGAAGTCCAGGCTGCAGGATATCGGCGCACCAAGGGAGCCTCTAAAGTCTCTAAAAATGGGTCACTGCCCTCTTTGAACTCGTGAAATTTTTCACATTGTTGCAGCGCACCCAGACCAACGTGAGCACCCACGGCAATAGACACAATATGCCGGAATGACATGCGAGATAGGGTTACTCCTGGCTTACCTTACAGGGAAAATGCCTTGGATATTCCCGAGATATCTCCGACTCGCTTCCCCCTCCTCGGTGCCAACTTCGCACGCAAAGTCCTGTGGCTCAGTCGGTGTCGTTGTCAAATGACTACTCCTCAGTCTGCCGCTTTTTCTTCGATATAAACGAAATATAGAGCTGACACGTCTTGAAAAATACTACTAGGTATATGGGGAGGCGGTCCGTTCCCAGACCATTGTCAGAATTATTTCTAAGCATGGAAAAATCAAACATAAGCTCAATCGCAGCGCATGTGACAGCTGGTTGTTTAAAGACTAAATTATGGAATGACAGCCTTGTCTGTGGCCGCGGGATGTTGCATGCTGCATGTTATCATGCCACTGGAGACCCGTCAAAAAGTGTAAACACCCAAATCCGTAGCCTTAACTGTTCCCGCCGAGGAAAAATGAAGACCACTGGCTGTGCTGTGCATCAGAAACGCATTTGTGATTTCTTCCTAAATTCAAAGCGCATCGCTCAGTGGCAACGCTGGTCAAGTGAGGGTTTCCTATGGGTGGTCGTAGTTCTCCCTGGGGGGAGAGGGGAGGGCAGTTGAGACTATAGGGATGGCATGAAGTGGTGGGTAGGGTAAATAGGACGGGCTGGCGACGGGGTGTGGGGTAAAGGGGGAGGATCGTCTCCTTCTTCTTCGGTGCTTTTCCCGATGCCGAGGTGCGGCTCTTTGCTTCTCCTTTTTCTGTTGCTTTCTTTTGTCTCTTCTGCCTTTTCCTCTGGGCACTCGAGGAGACGCTGAGTGTAGATGGTAGTCTCCCCCACGACTGTCTGAAGCGCAGAGCTACCCAGAACCCATCCAGCCTGTCAGGACCAGCCCAGTGTCTGCCAGCTCAGCGCATGCTTACTGCTCCGCCCATCCACCATGGGCAGTCCGCGGCTCCTCTCCAAACTCTCCCTTCTCCCTCTCTCTCTGTCCTCAGCCATCTCTCCGCCTCAGCTCCCCTCCATCAACAAGACTT